GCACGCCACGCCACGCCGCGCCACGCCATACCCGGCGGAGGACGCCCTTGCGCCGACCGTGGTCCCCATTGCGCGAATTTGCCAACGGGAGGCCGCGCCGCCGCCGCCACCGCCGCCGCCATGCTTTGTCTGCCCGAGGTCACCCGGCACCCACCGCCTCAACCAACTCCACTCCACTCCACGCCACTCCACCCTCCCGACGCGACGCCCGGCTGCAGTTTGTCTGCGCCTCGCTGGGTGCGCTGCCCTGCCGCTGTGCTCGCGGAGCGCCGGTCTCGCTACGTGGGGAGACGCCAGCTCCATCCTGGGCGTCAGAACCCCATTTTTTTTCTTAACACTAACCATACAAAGAACAATAAATGGAAGGCTGGCCTCCTAGGAAATTTTGTAGCGTGAATGTAACAAACACCTCGAAATTAAAATAGCCATCGCGTATTGGATGCGTAATGTTTGATGGGGTGTCATTTGTTCGTGAGTGAAGTTCTTTCGGTTTTCCTTGGTAGTGTCCATATGAAGATAAACAAGTACTGATGATTCTGTAGATTTACACCTTGCTCTTGTACGGACTGAAGGCTTGGCATGAGGTTTCATAGGCAGTAAGTGGAATATGCCGAAATTGTCACCATGTTTTTACGTTCTTTTTGCGATTTGTCCACGTACCATACCCTGCAGTGTAGCCATGCATTTGCCCATTCCTCTGTACAACGCGATTTGCAGGACTGCTCGCTTACGCACACGCACACGCGCACACACGCGCACGCACGCACACGCACACGCACACACACACACACACACACACGCACGCGCGCATACATACACACGAGAAAGAGACGAGGTGTGAACATTTTACTCACGGTAGGCTTCTGATCTCGGGCATTTCTACACATTTTGACGGTACTTCCTCTAACGATGGAGTCCTCCCACTGAGCCCTCGTTGTGGGTGTATCCCCTCTGAAGCTATGATAGACTACTAGTGAAATTTACTATCACGTTCGTTATCCGTAAACTCAAGTCGATTAAACGTTTTGCTTTCTGTATTTTTTGCACCTTTATACGTCAATAGGTAAACTTGGTTTATATTGCATAAACACATTGCAGTGTTTAAAGATACTTCAGCTTTTTTTTCCACTCGCCCTTATTTCTGAAATTCTGACGCATCGTTTGGAGTTGAGACAGGGTTGGTCATAGGTGTTTGTGGAGGGAGATTGGAGACGTAGATTGTTTACTTTTTTATTTACAGTTCGTCCCGCGTAAAGGTCCACATCCTTTCACCTCCTCGGTTGCTTTGTCACTCGTGGCTATTCAATACAAAATGTATTTTTTTTATATTATAAAAATATTTTGGTAGATTTGTGGAAGGTATACTCACGTGTTAATGCACTCGTGTGCACTTCCACAAGTGTGGAAGCACGAGACAAATCTTTTAATCACCCTAAAGCCTTCACTGCGAATGTGGAATGCTATTATCAAATGGTGATGTGTTACGTTCCATGTTATAAGTAACTTTCACTTTCGTAATGGTAAGGAAATACTTGGTCTTTGGTTTTTCAGGAGTTAAACTTGTTTGCTTTGAAAATTAATCCGAGCTCGTAGATAATAATAAAAAATTTGTTGCATATTAGTTTGAACCCAAACTGATTTTCCATTTAGAGAACTCTAATGCGTTCCATGGTGACACTTCTAGTTACATTGCTATATTTCCTCAAAATTGATAGTAATGAACCCTATGATAAGCGATTTTATAATTATTCCAACTGGATGCTCATTAGTAATTGTGTAATAAACAAATGCTTGCATTGCTGCATCATTCGGTCAGGTTCAATTAATCGCATATCAACCAATCTTCAGAATAACTTGTCGCCAACAAAACTGCGAAATGCTCATCAAGCATTGCTCACTGTAAGTGGCAAGTAATAAAATGATCAGATTTTACTTAAAGGACATCAAAAATAATTGGAAAAGAGATTTCAAGCTGGTAGATATAAGTTTTGTCCGACACTTCCTGTTCTTACTACACCAAACTATAAGCCAAGCTCATCTCCCGCCTCCCTAGTCTTTTTGCTTATCTGAAACTTACTTCCTCGCTTCTCGCCCCTCCTCCCACCTCACCCCACCCCAGCCCTTCGTCAAGACATGGGTTCATTCGTTTTGATTGAAAATGTTCAGTCCACTGAGTCTCTAAAACTAAGCTTTTCTTTGGTTAGCAAACAATTGCTTTAGCTTTCATTTTATTCTTATTATTAAGTTGCAATATCATAAAGCGCATTGATCGTGCCCTGGCTTTTTTTCATGTTCACCTTTTCTTTTTAAGCGTCTTAATTTTGAGATTGGTTAACAAAAGAGTAAGTTAGAATTTATAAAGGAACGCAGTAATCTGCAAAAACGATTCCACGAAAACCAGTCTCTGTAGTCCGAAATACAGGTAATTCATCGTAATTAGGTTAAATGATTTTTCCAGTTTAAAAAGATTCGCTTTTTTGTGTAGGACAGTTACAAAAACTTGCTATACTTGAACTACGGACCAA